TTATAATTTTATTAATATTTCAATATTAGAGGAAAGTAGCCAAAAGCGACATACCTCTATATCTCATATATTAAATGTTGTATTTTATCGAAACTAATATAAATGTAATTCGTTTTATCATATATATATATATATATATTTTTTTTTTGAGCTTTACATTAAGACATAACCTCCAAAAACAAAGTGGTATGTCGTTTTTGGTGTCTTTACTCTATTTCAGTAAAAATGTAGAATCATTATTAATTAAAATAGATTGAGAAAAGTATAATGAAGTATTATTTTATTTAAATAATAACAAAAATTGGCATTTCATATTTTATGTCGTTTCATTTATTCGTAAGATTCGCGTGGATTCGATCCAGTGTCACACGGTCTTCCATCTTTAGACGATCTGCTGTTCAAATGTCTAACCTCAACGATCGTACGGGAACTGGTGATGGCAATCCCCTGTACCGATATCGTGGTGGATTATATTTATAATATACTCTTATAGCGTTTAAAAATATAATGACATATTTGTCGGTAAATGTTTCAAAGGATGTAACAACAATCACAATGCGATTAATATTAATACAATGTTGTATAATTAATCAAACTTTAAACATACAACGTGCTCGCAAAAGAGAGAATATTCCTTCTTTCTTTCTCTTTTGCGAGCACGTTGTATGTTTAAATTTAATTAGTTATACAACATTGTATCAATATAAATTACATTGTGATTGTTCTTACGTCCTTTGACATATATACCGACAAATATGTCATTACATTTTTGAACGCTGTAAGAGCATATTGTAAATATAATCTACCACGATATCGTTACAGCGCATTGGCATTACTAGTTCCAGTACGATTGTCGAGGTTAGGCATTGAACAGTGCATAGTCACCTAAAGATGAGTGCCGTGTGACACGGGATCGAATCCCCACGCGATCTCACGAATAAATGAAACGTCAGTTTCAACAAAATATGAAATGCCAGTTTTTTTTTTATTATTTAGACAAAATAATACTTCATTATACTTTTCTCAATCTATTTTAATTAATAATGATTTTTCACTGAATTTTTCTATATTTTTAATGAAATATTATCGAAATATTAATGAAATTATAATGAAATTTTAATGAAATTGGGTCAAAATTGTGAATGCTTTTCAAACGTTCATTATATTTTCAATAAATTATTTCCATCAGATACAAATATCTCAATTGAGATCTACATGCGAAATTTTGCGGAAACCTCGACTGAGAATTCAATTGAGAATTCAATTGTGATCTCAATAGAAATTTTTCAGTAGGATAATGCTTACGCATGAGGTTACAACTTTGAGGCATAATTCAGTGAATGATCCCTTCAGCTCAATAGAATGGGTTCAGTTTCCAGTACAAGAACAGCAGTCATGACTTCAGCACGCGAATTCGTCGAGCAAGCCATCGCTAAGGAATCGGTCGTCATATTCTCCAAGACTTATTGTCCATACTGCAAAATGGCCAAACAGGCATGTTGCTTGCGCTTTAATCCGCAAATGAATAAAATTCGACTGATTGCAATTTTGATAAACGAAAATAGCCATCTTTCTTTTTGATAAAATTAAAAGTTGTCTATCATACAATATATTGTACTAGAAGAATGTGAACTTGTCTATAAATTAATCTAATTACGTGTTTGTGCCATTAATTGTTTTGCATGTTTTTACGCAGGTATTTGACTCATTGAACAAGGCTTATATGGTGATAGAACTGGATGACAGAGAAGACGCAGATGAGATACAAACTGTGCTAGGTGAAATAACAGGTGCCAGAACAGTGCCAAGGGTATTCCTCAATGGAACGTGCTTAGGAGGCGGTACCGACGTCAAAAAGTTGTACGAGAGTGGCGAACTTATAAAGAAATTTTAAAAACAACAAAGTGTTCTACAACACATTGCAAATAATATGTTTGATGCAATCTATTTCAATATAATAAAATGCTGTCATTTTATCAACATAAAAATGCTAACACAGAGTGCAAGTTCCATCATCTTATTAAATGTAGACCTCATTTTCAGCTGGTTACATAGGTGTTATCCTTTAAGCTCCAACCCTTATCGTTATATTTTTCGTTTTCCCTGCTGTATAACTTTCTCTCCTGCCCCCTTCTTTTCCGACTAGCATTTCTCTACTAAACTCTTTTCTCCTCTCTCCCTGATCTTCTCCTTATACTTTTTTGTTCTAATTCCCCATCTAATTTTAAGTTTTTCGAAGCCCATTTCCCTTAAAATTATGTACCTAGGTGTACAAAAATCCAGCCTGAAGATCCATCTGATATAATCTAACATGATCTTTTCCAGTTCCTTCTTTTCCTCTCATCCCCATATTTCCACCCTATATGTCATCGTACTTTATACTAAATATCTAAGTAATGTCCACCTTCTTGTGAAGTTGTTTCTATACAACTTTTCTCCTAGCCCCCATACTCTGCTAGCCATTGCTCTTTCTTACTCAAATTTTTAATATGTTTAATTAATATGTTTTATAATTACCGTTCCTATTAAACGTAAATCCTAGATATTTAAAACTCTTTACTTCCTCTATTACTTCTTTCCCCTATTCCCATATTTTCGCATCACCTTCTATTCTTTTACTATTAAAAATCAATCTCCAAGTAGCAGACTCACGTCAAAATAACGTCAAAAACTGGTCATAACTGGTCGATTGACATCAAGTGACTAAATAATGACGTCTTTAAGAAGTCTTTTGTGTCTTTTTTGTGACGTCATAATGACGTTTCTGTACTACGTCTTAATGATGTATTACTGACGTTTAGAGACGTCATTAAGTCGTCTTAAAATATCATTAAGTCGTCATCGATCGTAAACCCTCTTTAATATCCACTATGTATAGACATGTTAAATAGGGTCGGACTCATCACATAATCTTGCCTCAAGCCTTTCCTTGCGTTGAATTTTCTTGTTATCCTCTTCCTTGTCCTGATCGTAACCTCTGTTCCTTTGTATACTATCTTCATTCTTCTTACCAGATTCTTGTTTACTCCTTTTTCTTTCAGAATTCTCTATAACTTTTCTTTGTCTACTTTATCAAAAGCTGCCTTCAGATCTATAAATAAAGCAAACACCTTCTCTTTCCCTTTATCTCTTTCTTTTTTCTCTACACCAAATGATTTAAAATATATATATTATCCACCGTAGCTCTCCCTTTTTTGAAACCTGCTTGTTCCTTCGGCAACAAACCTTTCTCTTCTATTTCTTCTTTCAGCTTGCTCCTTAAAATCTCTATATGTACCTTATAAGCTGTGCACAATGAAATCTATAATTTTCTGTTTTATCCGTATCTCCCTTTTATGCAAGGGCACTATCATATTTCTTTTCCAATCCTTTGGTACTCTTCCCTTTTTCCATATTTATTACTTCAATTATATCTTTCTTGACCACCTGCATATCTCCACGCTTCCATTAATATACCATCTACTCCCACTATTTCTATGATGGCATCAAATGTACCATGTGACCATCGTCTCCCCTGCATTCGTATGTACTTGACCGGAAAAAAACTCCGGTTGGAAAACTATTCTTTTAAATCGTTTGTATTTCGTATGAAAAGTTTTGAAGTGCAATTGAAAAGATTTGTGAGTCATTCTATTACTTGTAATTGTTCTTTTTTGGACCATGTATTTAGTCGAAAATAATGATCGGAGGTAAATTAAACAAAGGTTCGGTATGATATCGTTTGTATTTCGTATGAAGAGTTGTGAAGTATCATTAAAAAGGTTTATGAGTCATCCAAATAATTTTAATTAAATATCAAAAAATCATGTATTTGGCCGAAATATCGATCTCAAGCGCTGTTGTGGAAATACCGTCAGGCACAATCAGTGTACTATCTAGTATTTCAATACGCCTGGTTCTTTTTCGGGTAATTATATACAATAAGGCCTCTTTCGGATTTTGATATTTTTTGCAGCTCTTTTGGTAAAAATATTTATTTTGACTCCAATATTGATAATCAATCGGGGGAGTCCGAAAAATATGCAAGTTATATATTGTTTTAATTTTTTTTTATTTTTTTTCACTTGTCAAACGTTACTGCTTTCCCACAATTTAAACAAGACAGATTTTTTAATCACATATAACTGCAATATCGAACGACTAGCGGGGGGCTGCGCCCCCCGCACCCCTCCTCAAAACTAACCTAACCCAACCTATCGTCACATTAGCCGTTATGTACACCTCCTGTACACAGGACACGATAATGCTTACCGCGCGGCGAAAGTCCGCACGACAATCAATCAATATGTTATTTTTCCGTAAGAGCTAGAAGGTTATTACGGAAAGCAGCATATTGATTGGCTGTTGCGCAAACTTCCGCCACGCGGCAAGCATTACCGCGTCCTGTGTATGTACAGGAGCCATTAGTCATTGTTTATTAAAAAAATTATTAAGAAAAAAAGTTGAACACTTTAATACTTACAAATTTTTTTAATTGTACTTCAAAACTCTTTATACGAAATACAAACGAAATACAAACGATTTAAAAGAATAGTTTTCCAACCGGAGTTTTTTTCCGATCAAGTACATACGAATATATTCTAAAGAATCAGATTTGTTGAGGATCGATCTTATTAAAGCCGAAGTCAATTGGTGCTCCACCATCTGGTTTTCGAAGATAACGAAATCATCTTTAAAGAACTTTAGAAATTTGTCCAACTATCCGGCAGACATCTTTAAAAGTTTCCTTTATAAAAAATAATCAATTTTTAATCAGCACATCAATTAAATTTATCAAACTTACTAAATTTGAATTTCGGTTAATGGAGCTAGTTTAATGGCCAAGGAATACCAACACAACAACAGGTTATACAATCTGTCATGCGACAGCATATAGATATATGCGCTTTCTTTCGCATACATACTCGCTAATTGGCTACGCCATTTTGTATTCAATCAATCAAAACTTGGCTCACTTTGGCCAGTCTTTTAGGCCCGATCTACAAAAGATGGAGTAAGGAGTAGGAGTAGGAGCAGCTCTATCCGACTTTCCTGCCTATACAAAACTGTGTCACGTAATAACGAAAAAGTTGCAGGTGGCGCTACTATCGACTTGGCCTGTAAATATATATAGATTATAAGTGACGGTAAACGTTCGCAAAATTGGAATGTTTAATAATTATACGTACAAGTTTAGTGGTAAAACTGTTATTTATAGTGATAAATTGTATTGCTGTACAGCTAAAATAAGATATCAAATGTGGTGCGTATACATACATATGCTAATATGTACATAACTAATTTCTTACTAATAAATTCCTGTAAAGTGACCTATACGCTAAGATTAGTTTTCTTTTCATCTTGTTGAATTAACGCTAAAGGATATTTCTTTTGTATTGTATAAATTGTAACACTATAAAAATGAAATGTATAGCTATCGGTTGTACATCAGGATATAAAAGTAATCCTGAAAAAATACAGTTTTTTCGCGTGCCAAAAAGTAATGATAAAGTTAAAGAATGGCAAAAAGTATCGCGAAGGAGCGATATAATTTTAAATTCCTCACATGTTTTTGTGAAAAACATTTCGCAGAACACGATATTGTGTGGGAAAAAGTGTTTCATGATAAGGACGGTATTCAAGAGATATGTTATAAAAATGGTTTTGAACATATTGCTTATTATTTCTCAAAAAATGTTATGTTTGTATATTGCATCACAGATGAAATGATCATGTAATTATAAATGCAATTGTGTATATATATATATATATATATATATATATATATATATATATATATATATATATATAT